AGCCTGACCCACTACTTCCCAGCAGCAAGTGAGCACTGCAGTCACCTGCACAAAACTGCTATTTTTGTCCTTGACTGAAGACTCCCTCATTACGGCTTTGCAGAATTTTGAAATAAAGCGTAGCCCTAGATCAGCTATTCTCAACCAGGATGCCATGCCACCCAGCCCCTGCGAGAGGAGGTAAACGTTCTCTTCCTCACTCTAGCTCCCTGCACATTCCCCAGCTACCTCAGCAGTGCCCATGGCTGCCTCCGAGGACCGTTGCTACCACCACGTCCTGCCCCCTAGGCAGTCCCTGTATGGGCTGCCTCCATGCTCCCAGCAATGTGCTCTGCTGCAAGTAGATACATGGATGGAGCCATGCTTTGCAGCCCAAATCATCACCTCCACACCTCTCATGCTCCTGCAGCCAGCAGAAGAGACTGTGGGAGGGGTGGGGGGAGACAGCATGAAATCCTGCAGGATTAGTCTTAGTGGTGGGGGCACCCTTTCCCCCTCAGGTACAGACTAGAGGTGGGGCAGGGACAACAGACAGTGGAAAGAGCTCCAGGACACAGCAGGACTAGGCTTAGTCCTCCCCACTCTCACATGGCACCAGCCAGATCAGTACTTCTCCATTTTTCAGCCTCAAGGCTCCTCCAGATCTTTTCAGAACTTATAGCTTAGTGACTCAACTGGGGTCCCACCAACTTCAGAAAAGTTATGAGGGCCTTGAGGCTAAAGGAGGTAGAGAACCACTGCCCTAGATTAAGCTAAGTAGTGACTGCCCTTCCAAGGCATGTCATCCTATTCTATATCACCCATTTACCTTCCCTAAGAGTTTGTATCATACACAGCAAATTAGACCACTATCTCCACCCAGTAGAGACCAGTACTATCAATACAGGAACTTTGTGATATACATGGTGTCTTGAACACGTGTAGCTGCTTACAGAAGTTGCCTTGTAGGCTTTGGCAACTGGATAGGAGACAGATGGGGCTTTTGGCACGCAGGAAAGAGCGGGAGTTAGCTTTGTGTTTCTGGCAACCAAGAGGCAGTTTTGATATTAAGGAGGGGGATACCTTGTCTCTCTCCCAACCCCCTCCAAGCACACACACATTTTGGAAAGGATAGAAGCTATTTTAAATGGGGGCATGAAGAGGGAATAAAGTTCTCATTGCCCACACACACTAGCAGATACTGACAGCAACTTGCTTCTCCTAGTTCAGGATCTGTGACTACATCCAATAATGATGTACAGTCACTTGATGTTTCTGTTAAACTGAACAGCTGTAAGACAGCTGCTGGTGTTTAGCACAGATATTAGGCTTCAGAGTCAATACCCCACCGAGTTGAATGGAGCTACCCCCCTCCCCCCCAGCCTTATGTTAAAGCTGAAATCCTGGAGTGCAACGTTCAGACAAAGTTGAGGGGGAAGGAAGAACCAAAATGATGAAGTTTACACAGCTGTGTAAACACAATATGAATGTGTTCTGTTTTTGCTATGAAATCTTGTGAAAAAAAAATGTTAAGATATAGCACAGTATTATCAAATCATTATACACCAATGTATTATGATCTTCAAAACTGAAAGAAAACGCATCTTGCTGCTATTTACAATTTCAATCCAGTTTAAGTTGCTGGCTTTATAAAATTAGTTCTTTTGCCTTTCTTAATGCTTTCCACAAGTTATTTTGCTTCAGCAGCTTCTGGATTACCAGAACTAGATTTTAATGATTTCCTGTTTTTAGCCATTGATTTCTCATTAGAGGTGCATCGATATATCAGTCCGTATCAGATTGGCACCGATAAAAGGAAAATTGATCTTATTGGTAATCTACATTTTTGGCCACTGTAGCTGGTAATGTCATTGATAAATGCCATGTGCAAGCATATAGCTGCAGCATGCACACGGCCAGAAATGCAGCTTGGCACTTTGGAGAGCAGTGTCTGGCTAATAAGTCTGTGCGTGGGAAAGGGCCAGGGGAGGCAGATGGAGTCCTGCATGGTGAGGAAGGGAGTGGGGCAGGGGCTGGAGCTGCACAGCCAGGGCAGGGTGCAGGACAGAGCTGCTTGCAGCTTATCTAGGGGGTTGAGAGGGGGGCAGATCCCTGCTGCTGCATGTACCCCGGGCAAGGGATAGGGGGCATGTGCCTCCCCAATTTATGCATGGGGTGATGGCAGGCTGCCTGCTGCAGACTCGAAGCCAGGGGCTGCACCAGCTTTTTCCCAGCAGGGGGGTAGGCCAGGGCTATGCTCACAGTAGGGTGGGGCAAGGCAGGGCAGGCAGCAGTGCTGGGAGAGGGAGCTATGAGGTGAGCTATGGCCACCCCAAAATTTGCCATAGCCCCCCTCCCAGCACTGCCACCCATCCTTCCCCAAGCACAGCCCCAGCCCAGCCCAGCCCCTGCCAGGAAGAGGCCAGCACAGTCCCTGGCCCCAAGTCTGCAGCAGGCAGCCCACCTTTGCCCCATGCATAAGTCCAGGGGCATGTGCCCCCCATGCCTCCCCCAGGGTGCATGCAGCTCCTCCCCCCTCCCCCTGACAAGCCCCACCATGGCTCTGTCCTGTGCCTTGCCCTGCAGCTCCTGCCCCCGCCCTACTCCCTCCATCCCCGTGGGGGCCTTGATCTGCAACCACCACACCCCTTCCCTCCCCAGACTTACCGGCCACATGCTGCTCTCAAGCTGCCGGGCTGCATATTGGCTATCAGATAGGCATTGGCCGATATGGTTGGTTCAACTGGCCATCAGTATCAGCCAAAAGGTGCACCCCTACTGCTCATCAGTTCAGTCTGCTCTGAAGCACTTCAAATCCATTACTATTATTGCCATATATGCTCCAACTTCCAGCCTGTATGCCATACTTGGCTTATTACTGTGCAAGTGAACACTGGATCAGAATTTTGCAGCCAAAAGGAAACGTTAAAGGAAAGCCATCCCCCTATAAAATTAACCTCAATCCGGCCTTTGTTGCAGCAATTTAAGCCAGTCTATTACCACTCCACCCACTTTTTGATTAGCCAAGTCCTTTTGTAAACTCTTGAGACAGTTACTGGTTCTACCATTCAGCGTTTCAGTCTATGCAGATCAACTGCTGTGCTGGTTTGACAATCAAAAGCTCTACCAGTCCAATCTTGCCATCTACTATCTATACAAGCAATGTGTGTTCCCCCAAAGGTCACCTTGGCCACTAGAGATTACAACGAACAGAAAAAAAAAAAAGTCAGCAGGGTACTCCAGAAGGAGCCAGAGCAAACCACCTGGCTGGAGGGAAGATTTGCCATTATAATATAGAAGGGGCCTTGGAGCAGTTTTTTCCAAGTATTCACCCGAGATATTTGTCATCCACACAAACTCAGTAAAAATGAAAGTACCCAAGCAGCTATGTATAGAGCTAGATATCTTTATGGATCACCTATGGAAGGCTGTATGGCCAAAGCATAACAACACTGCGAACTGACAGGGGATCACTGGGGGCCTGTTCCTCTCCCGGGTAATAATATCGCTTGCTCATCTTCAGCCTTCCTGGAAAAACCTATGAAAAACAGCAGCAGTCTAAACACTAGGAAGTGAAAAACCCTCATGGAGAAAGTATCCTCTAACACCCTTGAAGTGTCTCGTTTTTAGCTAGCGAGTAGATGGAGTAGCAAAAGATTTACAAATTGTGTTACACACAGACAGCTCCATGGCTATTCTTGTCCACAAGAGGAAGTTTCTTTTCCTGGCATTCCCCACTGAAAAACCACAGTGCCTAGTACTGAATGTAGCAGGCATCAGCCTCCTCAGTTTCATTAACTCAGAGCCGAGTACTGAGTGTAGACTCTCAAAACAGGAAGTCACTTTGCTGACTCAGCACTAATTCAGTGTTGTGACTGGCCCGTGTTGCACAGCTGATAAGAACTTCAGCAGTGCCTCACTGCCTCCCCCTCACCACTTCCTGTCTGAATCTGGCCGCAGCACTGAAACAAGAAGTGATGTCATATACAGGAGCCCTATGAGAACTACCCAAGTCTGTTCAAGAGAAATCCTTCTATGAAACAATGAAAGCAATCCAGCAGTAGCCATATGGGAACACAGAGGAAAGGGGTGGAGCATGCATCAGGCTCTGTTCTCCCATTCCTAATTTCTGAAACCCATCCTGATGTCAGCCAACTGCTTCATGCTTTTATTCTGGATCAGCTACCTAGTACAGTTATCAGAAACAGGGCCTTCCTCCCCGACAGAAGTCAGTAATGATGACAGGCTCCTGGGTCCTCCTACATTTGTGTGTTTGTTTTTGAAAGGAAACAAAAGGCTCCTCCTTCCCCAGCACAACCCTGAAAAGGCCTAAACTGACTGCTACCAGTTAGCAAAACCAATTCATTCTTCTGAGTTCTCAATGCTGCAGCTGCAATTTTGGGTGTGGCTTCTTCAGGAACTGGAAAGAGCTGTGCACATGCTGTTCAAAGGACAACTGATGTAAGATTGAACTCAAACCAAGGAAAGAGAGACTGATTTTCTCTTGGCATCTGTTCCAAGAAAACTTCACACAACATAGCCCACCCAGCAAAACAGTTCCAACAGAAAGGCACATGGATGCTGAATGCTTAAATTCTGCATTAAATTGCAAAGATAGTGTGACACTTATTACTTTGTACCTCTGTAACATATTCCATCAAAAGATGCATTTTACTGAGAGGTTATATTAACTAGTTTATATAGAAAGGGAAATGTTATCCCCAAACTTTACAGTTGGGAAACTGAAAGCAGAAGACTTAAGCAACTTGTAAAAGGTCATTCAGGAAAATCTGTAGGAGAGTTTGGAACCCAGAAGTCCCTACTTCAAAGGAGTACTTTAACTGTAAACCCATCCCCTCCACATGCCATACCAAGAGGTAAGAAGAAAATTCCTGCAGAATGATACAGAACAGCATTAATCTGAGAAACTGCCACTCTACAATGTCCAAGCCATGTTTTTAGTAGTCTACAATAGCCATGCTTGTAGCCAACTGTCACATCAAAAGTTCGGCTATACTCACGTTGATGTGATAGTCCGGAAACGCTCTTGTCCAGCTGTGTCCCAGATCTGTAATTTCACCTTCTCTCCATTTATTTCAACCGTCCGGATTTTAAAATCTACTCCAATTGTGGTAATGTAGCTGCCTACAGAGGGGAAGGATGTATGCAAGTGAGAGCCTGCCCTTTCATCCTCCCAACATCAGATTCCACAATATTTACCACGACACGTGTATACACCATGTCTAGCAACAGCCTCAGGGGGACCCTGTTCCTCTGTCTACTCTAGCTGGTCTCCTTTTAGATAGGCCTCTTAAGTCATATGTATAACAATTATTGATGGCTCAAGGCTATTTTCACCAAAATTAAATTCAACAGCAAGAAGTCTAGCTATTCTGCAGCTGCAGTAGACAATAAGCAATAAAAATCCTCAAAAGAAGGCTAACATTCACAGATATTTCACTCACAGGAATCCAGAGGTCAATATTTGTAGCAAGTACCTGTGCAATTATTTTTCCTTTAAATACAGTCCATTTTAATAGTTTCTTTTATGTAAAGTCATTGAAAAGGTAATTGAAAATAGTTTACCTACAGTAATCAATCAATCCAAATCCCACAGGTCCAAGAGACAGTGGACATATTAAAAAATTAAGCTGGCTTCAGGTTTCTATATTAATCCAGAGACTGAGATTTTTGCTTACAACTGGTGATTAAAGTAAATGGCTCATATGGCTGATCCAAGAGAAGTGGTGCTGAAAAGATCACAGATTTCTAGTACTGCTAGCTGTGTCAAGTGACAGAAAGACAGCTTGCAGGGTTTGGCTGGTCCTTGGTTACTTTGCTATTGGAAATGAATTAAAAAAAACCACTTACCTGAGAAAGTATTATCTGCAAAACGCAACAGCAAGCTGCTCTTGCCCACACCTGCAACAAAACCAAAAAAATAAAAATAAATAAGAGTGCTGAGATCTGTACTGGAACATGAGTAACAGATGGTGTTATTTTGTCCCTTATTCATTGTATTTTTGAATCCCATCTAATTCCTTCTTCTGGCAAGTAACCTAGAACCATCAGTGCCTGACCAACAGCCTTCAGAGACAGCTCTAGTACAAACAGAACTTTAGGCCACATCTCAAATGATCCACTGTAGGTGTCCAAACCATTGTTACATGCACCTCTACTGCTATGCACATGCTCCAACATCATTTCTCCAATTAAACTGTTGTACCCTGCCTGGGCACCACTGCCTGCCACCAATTCAGGTCACATACATTCTAATACGCAATGAAATTTGGACTGCTTGGACAACAAAACTAGGAATTAGTGCTGCCAAGCTGTGATTTAGTGACTAGTTTAATGGAAGGCATCAAATGTTGGTCAATGCAGCACACACAAATTGGTACAGTTGTTAGAAGGTCAGGAACCATTGTCCTATGAAGATCATCCAAAATACGCTTGCTCCATATCTAGCAAGAAGCAACATGCATTCTATACTGCAGATTTACTCTGAAGCTGAGCCCCTTGCCAACATGTTTCAAGTAATACTTTAAAGTACTTTAAGCAAGGAAAATATGAATAAAGGTGCTACACAATCCACTGCCACTTCCCCATTTAAGCATCTTGGGTTTGTTTTTTTAAAACAAAGAGGTGTGCATCATAAGAAACTGGTCCCTTCCCATGCAACCTTGTGTATTTGGGATTAGGGCACCCCAGACTGTCAACTCTGTGCACCAGTTTTAGAGAAGCCACTTAACTCCAGTTGGCCAACCTGGTTCTGGTGTTCCTGTTTAGAAGTTAACTTGGCAAGTCTTGCTCAGAGAAACTAGTTTGTTTTATTAACACACACTCTGTGCACACTCCTGCAAAGGCTTTGTGCAATGCCAATTGAAAGCTCCTGTAGTTCTCAGTGTCCTTTTCAGATCCCACTAGATGACCTGCAACATCCAACCATCCCATAACCTAAGCCCCCCTTGCCAAGAGCTCAAGGCTAGCTCCTTAACATTCAAGAAAGCCATTCCAGCTTCTGAGGCCTATAATACAAAGATGACATGAGATTTAATTGTACTGACAACTGTGTTCAACCAGCCAAAGGCGAAGCATCCCAACTCCAAGAAGGTGATAGATCACAGACGAGTTAGATTCAACCAATACCCAACATGAATGCATTTTTCTATCCCTTACCTTTTCCTCAGGAATCAATAAAGGATGGAAGTAAAATGTTTCTGGAAACTGGGTTCCCTCTTGGTGTTAAAGAGCAATCACTCAAAATCAATACTTTAGCTCCAGAGCAAGATGTAACTGTACAAATCCAGAACTACAGAACTCCAGTTAAACAGGCTTTAACAAAGAGCTGCACTTGATTTGTCTAAGTAACAGTGAAAAAAGTGTATCACTTTGATAAGAGCACTCACTTCACAGCAGAGATGACAAGCAGGGACAAATATTTTTGTCAGACAGCACCAGTGTATTAAAGAGGAAGCCGTCTGTAAGCAACACAGTAGAACTCTATGGGCTGCAAATTAACTGAACTTTGCCAGGCTGATCTGCTTCAGCAGTAAATAATGACTTGATCCACAATAAGCAAAGAGCTCCTAAAGAAGAGGCCTCCTGAAAGCAGAAGGTTCTGTATGTTCCAGCTGAAAGACATCTCACTAACCAAGCACTACCCATGACCCACAATGCTCATGTATAGAGAAACCACATGGCAAATCAACCCCACTTCCTATGCAGTTATTTCAAGCTATGGAACAGGTCAGTGGAGCATCTTCCACCCATGCAAAAAAAAAAAGAAAAGAAAAGAAAAAAAAGAAAAGTAAGCAACCAGTCTTTGCTGACTGATGTTGGGATCTGCCACAGGACAGTTTCAGCACTGTAACCAGCTTTCAAAACAAACCCAGCTCGAGCTCAATTAGAAGAGTGGAAGCAGGAAAACAAGTCTAGCTATGGATTAGCTACATCAGTAATTCCCACCCCCCGCCCCAAGCTTTTTCACCTCCTCCCCCAAAAAAGACTGAGTGCAATTCTTGACAACAAAAAAAAGTTCTGTGGTTGGTTTGTTTAACTGGCCTGTTTAACACCCCCCAAAATTCAGATTTAAAAGTTCTTTAAATTCTCTCACAACTCTACACTAGGGAAAGCTGCTGATGTTTCAACCAATCTAACTTCAATGCATTTTTCTATCACTAGCCTTTTCTTTAAAGATCAATAAATGGTGCAAGCAAAACATTTCTCAAAAAGAGGGACAAAGCTTTCCCTCTTGGGGTTAAAGAACAAGCACTCAGAATCAATACTTTAGCTCCATCATGAGATTTAACTATACAAACCCAGAGCTGCAGGCATCTATAATACAGCTGCTCGCAGTGAACAGAGCTCAGTGATTAGGGGCTTTGCTCAAGTTAAGCAGCAGCTGTGAACTGTACTCGGCTGTTTGAAGACAAAAACAAAGTCTTTTCTAATACAGATTATTTTCTCTTCAATTTGCCTGAAACTGACCACTAGGCAAAAGAGCCACTGCTTCTACTTAAAGTAGGGGTGCCGAGGCCCTTCCCACTTCCCCTAAAAAGTGGATACTTAAACAGGGCCTTATATAGCCCTATAGCCTTAAATACGGCTGCTTCTTATGGGCACAGGCAACCACTTTTTGACATAAAGCTACAGAGGTGACTGATCCTGCAATCGTGCGATGCTTCATTTGCAGTCGAGTGGACCTGCACTCTGCGTCCACACCTCAATGAAGAGACGCCATGGACGTCACCTGCCAGTTCGGGCTCCAGGCAGGCAGCAGTGGGGAACAAGGCTGACCGAAGTCCGGATGGCAGGCCAAAGGGCGCTTGCCCCAGGCCCCCGCCCCGGGGCAGCCTGTGCGCCTGAGGGCCACCCCAGCCTCTTGCCTCCGGAGGCGCTTCCCGTCCCTTCATGTCGAATCCCCCGTGCGAGCTGCCCCAAGTACAGGCCCAGACCAGGCCGGGGCACCAGGCACAAACACGGCCCCGGCCCCAGTGGGGCAAGGCCAGGGATCAGCTCCTGGCCCGGAAGCGGGAGGCCCCACCGCCCCGGCCACGACTCAAGGCCGCCCCGCT